GAGGCTTATACGGAAGGACATCACCATTGGTAAGCTTACATACAAATTGTTAAAAAACTTAAAGTTGTTTTGTTAAGATGGATGTTTATACCGGCAAAGACAAACATTTGCGTGCACTTTCACGGTTTGCACAGGGATCCTGAATATTTTCCCAACCCCGATCATTTCGATCCGGAAAGATTCACACCGGAGAACAGCGCCAAAAGGAACGAGTTTTGTTTCGCCCTTTCAGTGCTGGTCCTCGAAACTGCATAGGTATGTCTAGATTTAGAATTTTTAATGCGCTGATGATTGGATTATTTCAGGAAAAAAATACGCCATGATGGTTATGAAATATACCGTGTCAAAATCCTGAAGAACTTTAAGATTAACCCGGTACCCGGATTTGATATGATATTAGGAAATTTCGCAATTCTTAAATCTGTTAATGGAGTTTGCGTTAATTTACAACCTAGGTAATGACATAATATAATAATATTAGTTCATTAAGAAAAAAATAATATTAAGTAGACCAGCGTTTCTCACCTAAAACTGATAAAAACTAATGGGTGACAGTACAACTACAAATAAATATGTTAGGTCACACAGTGGAAAGGTTGAGAAACGCTGATGTAGACTATTTCTATTATTTTATTTGTTTGGTAATTGGAAAAATCAAATATAATAAATTTATTTTATTCTATAAACTAGAATATTTATGTGTTTGTAGTACTTATTTAATTTATTTATTTAACTTTTTCTTGTTCTTATATTTCTTAAGTTCTCGTAATTACTAAATTGTTCGATGTTTTCCAACAAAAAACGAATGATTTTTGTTTCAATTTTGTTACGCACATTACACCGACTTTGACTTTTGTCCCCATATATAAAAATATTAATGTCACAACAAATGTATTAGTTATCTCATGTACATTCTAAAAGTAAATATGTACACCAAAACTAAATATATAAATGAAATATCGAACGATCTATTTACGTAGAAGACAATGGAACGATATAAACCAGAGGACGTCGCACTTTGAGCTTCGAATGATCGAAATACTGAGGACATTCGAAACTCGGAGAGCTCTTATCAAATTTTTTGAAATGTTGCGCACGAAAAATACTTTGCACACGGCACTCGAGTATTTTTGCCCCCGACACCAATCAATCACACAGACACAATCTTTACTTGACCAAAATTATTAATCGATATCAGTACTTTCAAAGTACTCCTCTCGTTTCCATGCACGTAGACTCTGCCTGTTTTTTTTGTCCTGTCAATGGATTGTTGTTGATAATTTCCACTTAAAAAAATCACGCGCTGCTTCTGAGGTTCTAAAACTTTGGTGCAAACACGTGTATTCAATTACAAGGGTTATTCCATAACTTTAATGAATCTATATAAAAATCTATGAAATGTATGCAAAGTTGTAGTTACAGACTACTAGGAAGTAATTAAAGCTTATTGAAATAGATCTCAAAGAGATGTGTGATAGTTAACAAAATAATGGTTATAAAGAGCATAATAATCGATGAAATTTGGTTTCATTTTATATCGTTTAAATCCATATCAAATAGTGTAGATGCAGAGTAGAAAGTAATGAAGTTTAAAATAGTTTTCAAAGAGGTGTGATAACATCTACAATAAATGTTACAAATAGATGATTAAAAATAAACGATTTTGTATAATTGCATTTTTCATCCTGTAATTAAATTCATATTAAATTGCATGAACTAAGGAAAGCAATATAATTGAACAAATGATTAAAGTTTATTGAAATAATCGAATTCAAATAGTTCAAAAATTCGCACAATGGATGTGTTGATGCATGGACAAAACACAATGATTACAAATAGAATAATAATAGGTCATTAAGTCCATTAATTCGCAAAATTATTATAATATAAAACTATCTGAAGTGCAGTTTTAAAATAGCATAATGTGTGTGTAATAACTGGCGATTTGTGCGTATCTGGGAAACCTTTTTGGACTCGCTGAAACATTATTAATTGTATCTATTTACCCAAAAATATCGGGAGAAAAATGTTGGCTGCGCAGTATATAAACCTCGTCCAGACATGCTGAGACATCAGTTCCAGCTGTGCCTACGAACAGAAAACAATGGCTTTCAACAAGTACACCACCACCCTCGCCCTTGCCATGGTCTTCCTCGCTCTCGTCAGCTTGGGTAAATTCAGACAGAATATTACAAATACTAAATATTTAATTAAAACTATTTCTTTCGTTCATTAGGAGATGCCATAAGCTGCTACAAGTGCATGGGATGCAGCACCGTTGACAGCAACACCCCAACTTGCCAAGGATCCTACTGCTACGAAATAGAACAAATGAGCGAAAGCAGTATGTTCTCTTAGTTTAATTAACTGTGATTATTATTAACATCGTTCTATTCGGCATTTACAGAAGGCTGGGATAGAGGATGCACCCCAGACCCGAAATTCTGCATTCCCCACGCCGAGATGCCCCATGGCTGCGAAGTCTGCTCCATCGAACGCTGCAATGATACCCCGTACTAAGCAAGAGCCAAAGAGACACTCACGCACTGAAGTTACCAATGATTGAGATTACTAATCACTTAGTCTAAATAAATAGTCTTTGATAATTATCCCGACTTATTTTTATTTCCTTAAGCGAATGTCGGAGCTGATGCTGATGGCCCGACTGTTCCTATCCTTGTTCTTAATGTTGCGAGTCATATTTTTTTCCCGCAACTCCATATCCAAACGCTCTTGGTTAGCTATACGTTCCCTAATGCTCCTCGGAACATCCGGTATAGCAAAAGCTATAAGACTTGTGAAACACATGACGAGGACCTGATGATTAATGCAATAATGCTTATATCGTTGTTTAAAATATGGAAATACTCACTTCAATAATGATGACTGTCAAGGTTCTCGATGCATACTCGTACCAATACGTGGTGGTAGGCTTGTACTTCTCAGCGTGATTGGGAGGATGTCTCTTCCCTTTATAATAGCATATGTTCCCCGACATATTTCCCTTTGTCACCCCACGGTAATCGTCGACTGCAAACTCTGAAAAACACGTGCATCACACCAAGAAGAAATAAATACAATTATTAAAGTTTTACCGGAAAATGTGTACGAGATGAAAGAAGTGGCATCGCCGTAGACGCGCAACAGGTACGGAACAAATTGTGTGGTGAATGCTACGAGGAAAGCCTGAAATCCAATAAATGCACTTGCTTCTTCTGGATATTACTTCAACTCACATTTGTCGCTATACCGATGACAGTCAACACTTGAAGAATCACGTTCCAGGCCGCAATTCCCTCAGTGCGAACTGGCAAAGGTCTTCTGTAGACCCTCGTTAACTTATAAGCATCGATACGTATCTCCAAAGTGTTGTAAATGATCGCCAGAAGCGGAGCCAGAGGAAAAACCGCGGAGAATAAGATTATATAACCATATTGTAAAACTGCAATTATTTTCATCGGAAGATACAAATGATGAGTGTAATTTTGAATTTCATCAGTTAAAGAAATTAAAATAACTTACTGATATCTTTATAATCTCTGTAGAGGAAATAATAGTCAACGCGAACATCCAAATAGTTGATTTCCCATACAGGCATTATACTAATATTATATTTTCTTTTTTTGAATATATATAAAATTTCACTACAATAAAAAAAAAGTACAATATTTACTTTTTTGTTTTCTTCGATTACTTTAACTTTTGAAATCAAGACTTACGGTATTATCACTTCCAATGAGCTCTTGAACAAATTTTTACCCAAAAGAATTATTGCCAGCTGCATGCTAACTTCTAGAATGCATCCGAACGGTGCGCAAACATCAGAATTTAGTACCCCTAAATTATCGTACTGCTCTCTATCTCCAGGATAAGTGAAATATGTTCCCTAAGAACAAAAAGTTGCATTGAGTAATTCAAAAGATGAAGCTAATAATACCTTGAAGAAACTCGTGTAGTATATTACGGAATAACCGTTTACGAAGCTTAGAATGTATTGCTTGTAAGTAAAAGATTTGTCGTATTCAGATTGAGTGCGGGGATTCTCGTAATCGGTTAATTTTCGGGCCAGAAATGTGTAAAGCTAAAATTAACAACGGTCAAATAATATGTAGCTGCATATACTAATATAAGATACATATTCAAAAAGTATTAGGATGGTCAAACTTATGGAATTTGCAGTTAATGTTGCCACCATCGACGCGTAACTCCTGATGAATTCGTTCTTGGTGTATCCAGCTAAAGCGTACCGCACGGCCAACCTATAAGCAATGATACTCACCACAATTGCAAGGACGATCAAACACTACAATTAGTTTAATTACTTATATATTTACATTAATAAGAAAATAACTTAGTTACGGCAAGTATAATGATGAACGTCGAAAAGATCATTTTTCCTAAGCGAATTTGAGTCGGCACGTAAGGTTCGACCTTTCCATTATACTTGGAAACCCTTTTGTACTTAGTTAACAAAGGAAATTGGGGTCTACTCAATTAATTATTGGAAACTATTTTGTTTTCAAAAATTATAATTTACCTCATAGTAGGATCGTGTTCCAAATACAGCAAATTCCATTTGTAAATCAAAATTGCTTGTTCTCTCTTCCAAATTTCGTAGCAAAACGTTGCTTCATAAAAACATATTTCATTATTCCATTAATTTAAAGTATAAAAACTAACCCCACAAACAAACGAATATGGTATAAACGAAGCTGTACGTGTTGTCCAGAATATAACTGATCTTTGAACTCCAGCAGAACGATCTCAGAGGAATGTATGTACAGATACTCTCATAGTGGCAGAAAGGGCACAAAATGATATCGGAATTACAAATCTCATGACTGAAATAATAACATCCTTAAATGATCGTTTAAACGCATTTAACTTTCAATACCTGACTACATTTTTTTCCGTGTCATAGGTGTGAATTCCATAGATGGACGTGGCCAAACCGAAGATCATAGCAGTTATCAACATCCTGTTGTAGAATCCGAGAAAGGAGAAATAGAATCCAACCTCGGGTCCATAATACTTTTGAATCAACTCCAACGGCTGCAGCTTGAAGCACATACCGAAGTTCGCCCAATATTTCGAAAGAAGTTGACGATCGTTCAAAGGCCCAGACGTCGTCCATTTGTATGTGCCATCGTGCAAAGCGTATGCGTCTTGCAGGTATTTGTTCTTCAGCAAAGTTTCCAACCCGAATTCATGCTCCTGGTCACCGTATTTTGCCTTGGACAAGATCTGATGTATCACCATGATCCTTTCTGCGCTCGTGATGTCCGAAGGTCTCTGTCCAGAAATGGACTCTCTAAAAATATTATCAAATTAAAACAAAACTAGTTTTTGTTAAAATCTAATCGTTTACGTATTTCTTTTATAAAAGTTAGTGCTTTCATCCGGTCTTGTTAGCTCGGTGAACAGGAAGTTAAAATTGAAGTTTCTGTGTGATGGAGGCATTTCCGTTTTATTGTCGCAACTGAGATTTATACTCATTACGTAAGCGTAACGTATAAGCACACTTCTGGGACCATGAACTTTGATGAAGAGCAGATGCGGGAACTGCTCCGAGTTCTCTGATTCGAATTCCAATCCTGCTTCTTCTAAGTTTTCGATGTATTTGTTAACCAACTCCTTGAATTTCTCTTTGGAATGCAAATTGTAGACAAACACATAATCGATCGTTCTCTCGTTGTCTCTGAAATAATTCCCATCACGTTTCTCAACGTTAGACTCCAACAGAACTTTCAATTTCTCATCACACGCAAGCAGTTTATCTTCTAAATTATCCAACTATCAAATAATAAAATATAATTTATTTGTACAAAATCAATTATTAATCAATTATTATTACTCACTCCATTGGGATTTGTTAAAATACTTCTCTTCCTATAAGAAGACATTTGTACTTTGACATAATATATCTGGATAGCTAGATATAAATTAAAATCTTGAAAACATGCATATTTTTGCTTCTCAAAACGCTAATATTTATTCACACAGTTGTCAAATAATTTGATATGAAGAAAAATCATCTTAACATATTAATTTTACATGTTTACATTATTTTTTCTTGTTATTTTTTGACTTGCTGATCCAAGCAAATTATTGACATATTAAAAGTGCGAAACTGACATGGTATGTTGTTAAAACATCATCAATTGCCGAATCATAATAATGTTAAGAATATTTTTAGCATCGTCCGAGTATCCTGCACAATCCCGTGGGAGACCAGATTTGGTCAAAGTCCTGTTACTTTGACGATGAGAGGCGAAAGATTGACTACATCTTGGTCAGCAGCCAGAAAAAGTCTAGGGATGAAATGGATAAGTTGGCCTTCTACATCAACGGATTGCGAAAAGCAGGAGTTGAAATTGAAATAGCCAAAGGAGGAGTGAGTTATTTTTGTTTAATACTTGCGAATTATCTAATAAAGATTTTATTTAGAGAAATAATGATTTGGTGTTCATCAAATTGCATTGCGTTTTGGAGGTACTCATGGAGATAGTTAAAGCTCACAATATCGTATTGGAAAAGCAAAATTTGAAGAAGATGAGGGAATCAGCATTTTACAAGCAGAGTTTTGTTCATACCATTTGCAGTAGACCCGATCCCAAGAACCCACTTACCTTAAGAGCACCGTAATTTGAAGAGTTAAGAAGTAAATGTTGAACGTTGTTTAAATGATGTATTTTAAAGACAAACGCTTTCTGGGAATAACGCGACCACTATGACTAGCGCAGAGAGAACCTTGGCGTTGCATCGTTTGATTATTAGGACCAAATTCTCGAATGAATTTCAGGATAGAGGAATAACCAGGATGATCACACAAGGTATATTAATAAACGCTTATCCGCTCCATGATAGCACTTTGACGTGGCCCGAACAAGGACCGATCAGCGACAGACAAGTAAACAGTTATAAGTGATTAGAGCTTCGAATAACTATTTTATTCAATTTTTAGTTATTGGGTAGATTTTGGTCAAGGCTCAGCTACTTCTACAAAATGCAGCCGTTACATTTGATCAGGAAATATTACGGACCTGAGGTGGCATTCTATTTTGCGTTTTTAGGATTCTACAACAGAATGTTGGTGCCTGCTGCTTTAGTCGGCTTACTGTGCTTCATCATCGTTTTCCTGACGTTAGATGATGAAAATCCGCTAATGTATTTGTTTTGACTGAGTATTTTCCATCGTCAACGTATTTATTTTTGCAGTAGAGATTATTGTAAAAGCGATGCAGTTATGTGTCCCAGATGCTTAGACGCTCGTTATTGCAACTTTGTGCCGTTGAAGTACTCTTGCGAAATGGCGAAGATCGTTCTACTGTTCGATAATTCCGCGAATATAATTTATTCGATTTTGATGTCCTTTTGGTCTACCATTTTTATGCAACTCTGGAAACGCAGAGAGATCGAGCTCAGATTCAAATGGAACCTCATGACGGTCGAAGCCAATACAGCCACAAGGTATAGGTTTCTATATTTCATTGATTTTATGAAGTATCCACAAAAAAAACGGATATTTGTTTTACAAGATTTAAATAATCAATAATTTTAAATAGATTACAATATTACGAGAGAACCAAATACAGAAGACCATCGAAATTCACCGGTGAAGAAGAACCCTACATACCGAACCTCATCAAATCCTTGAATTACTCGGTAACTGTGTTCTCCTGCCTATGCATGGTACTAAACAAAATGATTGAAAAATACACGAATTCTCTCACTCAATAGTATGTTTTAGATTTTCATCGTAGTGTTGGCAATTTTCAGCGCTATGATGATAAAATTCACCGTCGCCGGTTTCATATTGGGAAACGATATAGAAGTGCTAAAAAACCATCTGAATATTATAATAATGGCCCTTTCTAGTCTCATCAACTTGATATTCATGAAAATATTTGCTCCTGTAATTTAAACCAATTGTCTACCATTGAAACAAAATTAACTATTTCGTTCGTAGATCTACACTAAATTAGCAATATTGCTGACAATCCGAGAGAATCCAAGAACATACGTGGAATTTCACAACTCTTGCATCTACAAATCTTACATGCTCGGGTTCGCCAATAGTTATTTCCCAGTTTTCTATTTAGCCCTGATCAAGGTTATGTCTCTCATGTGGTTGAAGTTATTTGTTAATAAAAATACTTTTTTTATCATTTTAGGGTCGATTGTATACTCATCCTGGAGACATGTCCGTCAAAACTATACCATTGTATTCCGATTTGTGCCATCCTCCCGGGTGCATCGTTGGAATCACCATATTGCTCCTCTTTGTCCTATTGTTCAGATCGTCCGTTGGTCAGATCATTGTGATCGTGATAAGGTAATTCATTTTAAAATAATTCAAATTTGACTAATTTACTTTCCAAGTGCAGATTATTAAAGAGAGGTAAAGCAAAATTGACGAAAGTCGACGAATCGACTAAACTACCTAGTTGGGAGAGGGATTACAAACTCGAGAACAATCCGAAATTTTGCATGCTTAAAGATTACATGGAAATTGGTAAAACTGTGCCAAATATCCTATTTACACTTCACTTAATTTTAATATTAACCTTCCCAGCCATTCAATACGGCTTCGTAACGTTCTTCATATCAGCTTTGCCTCTTGCGCCGCTCCTCGCATTGCTGAACAACATCATAGAGATTAGATTGGATGCTGTCAAACGTGTAGCAACCTACAAGAGACCTTTGATTAGTAGACTTCCGGGTATTGGAGCTTGGAATGTCGTCTTTCAATTGGCCACTCGTCTAGGAATCTTGACTAATGTAATAAGACAAGAAAATAGTGAATAAACATATTCAATATTTTAATGGCTTTAGGCTTTCGTGATTGCCTTCACCTCAAACACGATCACCCGAGAGATTCACAGGTTCGAAACTGGATCTATGAAGAACTTTGTAAACACTACACTTTCAGGTGAGTAAATAAAAGTACATTCAGCAGTTTAAAAATATTTCCTATTTAGTTTTCAACACCGCCGATTTTAATTTGGCCAATGTTGAAAAGAAGCAGCATTTCCTGTCTACGAACCAGTGCTTCTACAAAAGCTATAGGTATCATTACAATGCATCTAATAAGTATCATTTCACTCCTGAGTATTGGAAAGTTCTTGGCGTCAAGTTTACTTTCATCATTCTATTTACGGTTGGATCTATTTCTTTGTTTTACTTTTAAAGTATCTATAATAAGATTTACTGTTTTAGCAATTGATTTGGATTCTGAATGCAATTTGCGCAAATACCATATCAGAAGTACCTAGAGACGTGCAAGATGGACTAAGCGATCAACAATTGCAAGTAAACGAGATACGAACTAAGACTTTGGATGAATCAAATCGCCAGAACAGAAAACAAAAAAAGCGTTTTCGAATATCTTAATTAGAAAAATCGAAATATGTAATAATAATTGACTTTTTGATACTGATAGAAACAAGAGAAAATTATGTTACATTTGGTTAGTTCAACAACAGGAATAGTTTTGGTAAATGTGGATATTTACCAAATGCTAAACGTAATAATTTAAATTTTATTTTTTGTTTAAATTGAAATAAAAATCAGAATATTTTTTTTAATGCTTACAGATCTTTTTTGTTAACAAATAAAATATTTTCGTATCAAATTTTGTGATTTAAGCCACCCTGTATATTCTTTAAAGCCTGTATAAATTTGTCTTCTGTTGGCAATCCTGTTTGTTGTTAAATACAAATTTTTGACTGGCATGTGAAAAGCATGCATGTTTCTTTAAATATTGTTTAATTATTAATACAAAATGAAGGTGAAGAAGCCAAAAGTTGCTAACAATAAAGTTGGAGAGGAAAACCAAGCTTTGGTTAAGGTATGTACCATGTCAGTCTAATTATAGTCATATATTCATCAATTTAAATATAATTTTAGGTTAAGTCGAAGAAGGCTTTCAATAAGCTGAACAAGAAATCCAAGGTAATTGAGAAACCCAAAGAAGAATATAATGTTGAGAAGTTGCAGAGTGAGCTGTCTGCAATTCTCAGTGGATCGTTTGGTAAGAAGTTGAACAAATGTGTTGAAGATATAAATGCTGCTGAGACTGTTAAAGTTACCAAAAAGAAGAAATTGCTTAAGAAAACTGATGGTGATGATAAGAAACAAGAAGTAAGCAAATCAGATTCAAGTGTGAACACAGTGAAACCAAACAAAAAAAATAAAGTTGTAACGCAAAGTATTGAAGTTTCTGAAAATGTGAAGAATGAAAAACTTGGTAACAAAATTAAGAAAGACAAACCTCAGTTGAAAACTGCAGTTCAAGAAAATGAAACTAATGTTGAAAGAAAGAAGTTTAAAAAGGAGAAGCCTGTTAAAAACAAGAATAAAGCAAGTAAGGAAATTAAAATCAATAAAGTAGAATTAATTAATGAAAAACAAGAAAATGAAAGTAAAGTTGAAAAAAAGGTTAAAAAGAAGAAGCTTAAAAGTAAGAAAAATAAAGTTAACAATATTGGTAATAAAAATGAAAATAGAAAATTAATTACTGATAAGGAAGAAGATGATAGTAAAGACTTTAAGAATGTTAAGAAGAATAAAGGACATTTAAGTAATAAGCAGAAAACAAATGAGAAACTGGATAATGAGTCCAATAACAAGAAAGTAAAAACTGAATTGATTGAAAAGAAGGAAGAAGTAAAAGTTGAAGCAGAAGACACAACTACTAGTTCAATGTTTCCACACATGGAAAATAAAAAGGCGAAAAAGAAAGCGAATTTAATGCATTCAAATGTAGATTCGAATATCGATTATAAACGTAACAATGTTAGTGAGAAAAGTGTAGATTTAGCTAAGATTCTGCAGGATGAGAAGAAGTTGAAGCTATACAATATGTTGAACGAAGCAAAGACGAAACCAGTTAAATTGGCTGGAAAGAGGAAAATGGCAAAATTGCCGTTGCGAGAGAGAATGATGGAGAAATTGAAAGCGGCCAGATTTAGGTATCTCAATGAGCAAATCTACACAACGGACGGAAGCGAAGCGAAAGCCATGTTCCAAAGTGATCCAGCCGCTTTCAAAGCTTACCACGAAGGTTTCAGTCAGCAAGTGAACAGGTGGCCAATAAACCCAGTTGATGTCATCATTGAGAGCATTAAAAAAATGTAAGAAAACCATTGAAAAAGAAATACAATCTTACTAATATAACATTTTAGGTCCAAGAATCTTGTCATCGCTGATTTCGGTTGCGGGGACGCAAAGATCGCTAAATCCGTTGAAAACACTGTGCATTCTTTCGATTTGGTAGCTTCCGATGATGCAGTAACAGCATGCGACATGTCCAATGTCCCATTGGAAAACTCGAGCGTTGATGTCGCTGTCTTCTGCTTATCCTTGATGGGCACAAATTTGCAGGATTATATTAAAGAAGCCAACAGGGTGCTCAAAATGGGGTATGGAAATGAAGTTTTTAATTAAAACAAATATAACTTTGTTTACTTTCAGGGGAATATTGAAGATAGCTGAAGTCGAAAGCCGATTTGATAAAGTGGAGACTTTCATCAGCGGTATAAGTCATTTCGGTTTTAAGAAGACGTGGAACAATTTGGCCAACGATATTTTCTTTTTCATTGATTTCAAGAAAACCGCTAACGTTAAAGGAAAACAATTACCCACCGTCAGTCTGAAACCATGCCTTTATAAAAAGCGTTAAGTGTTGAGATAAATTATTTTAATTGTTATTAAAAGTTATTACATAATAGAATAGAGTATTATTTATTCAATTACCTAAAATACAGATAGTACCAGATAGTACTAATCTATTTACGTTTTTCTAAGTACAAAATTGTTCGGAAACACGGGTATTCGTAATATACAGCTCCACCTAGCTGAGGAAATCATTAACTATACTACTTGTAAAAGGCACTAAATACATAGCCTATTCAATTTAGGAAAAGTAAACATTAGTTTGTAATAGTTTTCATCAATTAAACACAATTTTATTTTAGAATTACAATGGAGAAAACTGATTTCAGCCAGGAGATTCAGGATGGGAAGAACGTGAGAACAATCAAATGCAAATACTGCACCTCTGTGATTTTAACCCCATCCACTGCAAATTTTACCCAATTGCAATTCGATTTGCCAACCGTCACTCAGAAGAAGGATAGAGATTCCACAACTGAAACTGAGAACATTGAATCTTTTTGGTTGGTGGACGATATGTTCACTTTTCAAAATGTAGGGGTTACAAACACTGTGGATAACAAAAAGTTCTTGGTCTGTGCGGACTGTGAGCAGGGTCCTATAGGTTACCATAACATTATCACAAAGAAAAGTTATGTGGCTCTGAACCGAGTGGAATATGTCTGATATTCATTTTCTGTCAATGTATCTGTTCTATCGAAGATTCTGCTTCAGATTTCTTTACATTAAGAGAAATTAATATTGCACCCATTGTATAAGGTAATTTAAAATATTTGTGTTTGTATTTTGCCAAATAAACTAATAAAAATCAACGTAATAAATTAATCAATCAATTTTTCAAAAGTATCCCATAAACTTTGCTTATTTGGCAACTTTATATACATATTTTTTTATAAATGTCTAAACTATTATCATTCGTACTGAAACTGCTTCATCACAATTTGCTAATGAACAGTTCTTAATTCCTTGAGGTACCATTTTCATTATTTTTCTACTAATAAGTTAAAACTATTCAACATTATCTATAATTACTTACAAATATCTGGCAAGTTTTTAAATTCAATTTGTAAAATATTTAATTTCAATTATGTTTTATCTAATTATAAATTTGTTTTACAGTTTACGTAAATGTATAATTCATAAAATTTTAGTTTCATTACCATTCATTAAAACATGTTAATTGTGTTGCATAATTTATTTTTGTTGGTTATGCTAATATTTCTTCATATATTATTGTTTTGTGAATGTAGCATAATGTAGAAAATTGAAAGTTTCGCTAAAATAAATACGAACAAATGGATAGAACAAGCAAGGATTTAACAGGTATTAATGAAATCTGTAAAATCAGATAGTTGTCAAGGTAAATTAAATAAATTTTAATTTTATTTGTAGAAAATATATTGAACAGTGATCTCACATTATTAAACAATTTCACAATGCCTTCACAACAATCGACCAAGAAAAAGAAATGGGCAATGTCCTTGAAGAAGTATTCCAATAACGAGGATAATGCAGAAGACAGTGATACAGAGTGTTCTATTGTAAATTCTCCAATTCCTATTAGTTGTAAGAGAGTAAGGAGTAGTAATTCACAGAACAGAAAGTCCAAAAAATCTAAAATATTTGATATGACTTTTAATGAGTCACTAATAAGCTTGAAAGACTGCACCAACATGTTCAGTCAGAAAGGTATTAAGGAGTTGAATGCTGCAAACAAAATTCCAAGTCCTTTGAGTGATAATGATGATTTGTTTAAAGACCTTTTAACTCCAAGATCTCCAACTAGTAAGAATTACATTGTACTAATAACAAACAACTTTTAATTTATTTATTATTTTTTAGCTATTAGAGTGAAAACAACACAAGAGAATTGCAACTTTGAGTTTTCACAGCTCTTTAACAGCACACAAATATTGAAACAAATAGATGAGGTTTCAAAAATCACTGATGATCATCTTCCAAAATTAAATAGCAATAACCCTGTGAAAGATACCTACATTCCTGCATTTGTCAGTGATGAAGATTTGGATTTGTTTGAGGAAGACATGACTGAAACTAATTTGACTAATGATACAAGTAAACCATCTACAAGTAAAAAATTTAAAGCCTTATCACATCTTGATGATATCTTCAATACTCAACCTATGAAAAAGCAAAATGATAATAGAGAGATACCAGTTTCAAAAGGTAAGCATAATAAATTGAAACTCAACATTGTTATTTGCAGAGTCTTTTGATTTTAGAAATATCTGAAAAGTTAAGATTCACTGAGACTAGCCAAAAGAACAAATTAAAGGAACCAGAAACTAATAAAGGTATTATTGTATTAATAATATATCTCACATGTATCATTGTATTTCATTTTTAGAAAATTGCAACAATTTGAAAACTGCAATAGTTTGTGAAAACAGCCAAAAGTTCAAAATGCCAGCAGTTCCAAAAGGTTTGATAAATATAAAGCGTTTAAATCATTACTGAAATGTCATATTTTATGTGTTTCCAGATAAGCCTTCAAAATTTAGTTTTACTCAATTCTGTGAAAGTAGTCAAGCTCTGAAACATATTGACGAGGTTGAAGCTGGATGTTCAAAACAGATAGATAAACGAGTATCTGATTACAGCCAGCTCTGCAATACGCAATTCACGCAACAGGTTGAAAGGATTAATTCGCCGAAAAACAATGTTTTGTCGAAATCAAAAGAAACTGTTGGTTTTGGAAGCAGTAAGTACAGAGAGGAAATGGATACGCTTTTTGATGATCTGGAGAGTTCGATCTGCTACGGTGGTAAAAAGACGCCGACCAAAAAAGCCATAACGGATTTACTGGAGCAAACGTTCAGAAGTCCACAAATCATAAAGAAAGCTATTCAACAAGCGGAGAAATCACTGATGACTGCACCTGAAGAGTGGAAAGACGACTCGTTACTCGCCGATGCTCTAATTAACATGTCAGTGGAAGGTCAGAGCATTGGGGATTTGATGAAGAAAGCTTTGATGAACAACGTGGATAAATGTGTTTCACCACCGAAGATCTTCAACGAGACGGTGTGCGAGGAAAAGGTGAATTTCAGGAGTTACGGCCAGTTTTACGGGCTTCCAGATAAGGTGAAAGAGCTGGTGAAAACATATAAAGGAATCGATAAGCTATATGGTAAAGAAATTATATAAGCTTTACGTGTTTTAAACTATATATTTTCAGATTGGCAAAACGAATGCTTGAATTTACCGGCGATAAAATCGCGAAAGAATCTGATTTACGCGCTACCCACAAGCGGAGGTAAAACTCTCGTTGCCGAAATCTTGCTTTTGCGCGAAGTTTTGTGCAGGCGAAAGAACGTTTTATTCGTTTTACCCTTTGTAGCAATTGTACAAGAGAAGGTAAAACGTTACTTAGGATTAGAAGAAAACGTTTCAAAGAAATATTTCTTGTCCTAGGTTTGGTCGCTTTCGCCTTTTGCAGTTGATCTGGAGTTTCTTGTGGAAGAATATGCAGCTGGTAGAGGTAATTTCCCTCCAAGGAAGCGGAGAAAGAAAAATTCTGTTTATATAGCAACCATTGAGAAAGCCTTAGGTTTGATTAACAGTTTAATCGAAAACGACAGGCTGAATGAGCTGGGGTTGATTGTCGTCGACGAACTCCATTTGGTGGGCGACAACAGCAGAGGTCCTAATTTAGAAGAACTTTTAACTAAAGTCTTGGTCTCGAAGAGTAAGTTTACTTTACATCATCTAGCTTTACATTAATTTGTTGAAACGTAGATGACATTCAAATAATCGGCATGAGCGCAACCATAGGGAATTTGAAGGATATATGCACGTTTTTGAAAGCTGATGTGTATGTGAATGACTTTCGGCCGGTCGAATTGGTAGAGTACATCAAGTGCGGAGACGAAATCGCTAAAGTTGATGTTACCACTGAAGAGATTTTCATTTTCGAAAGAAAAGTGAACTATAAGGTATATATTTTATTTCGAGTTTGTTTGATGTTAACATGTTTTTGTTGTTTTTGAAGTACGCTGATTCTCTTATACAAATCGACCCTGATCATTTAGGAGGATTAGTTATGGAAGTTATCCCCAACGATTCGTGTTTGGTTTTCTGTCGAAGCAAGAAAAATTGCGAAAATGTTGCTATTTTGCTTAGCAAAGTGGTTTTCGGGTAAATTAAATACATACATTTTAGTAGCATTTTCACATTTCTTTTAGATTGTGAAATTTTTATAAGAGTTTTCAATCAATACTGATCCTTTTTTTAGTGTCATTTAATTTTTTTGAAGAAATTGTCATCTACCTTACAAAAAACAGGAATGTTTGAAAGAGATAATAATTGATAAATTTAATTATTTTAGAAAGCTGAAAACGTACAAAAGCAACGAGAAACTGCATATTTTGAAAGCGCTAGAGGAAGAGAGTGGTAACTTATGCAGTATTCTGAAAACTTCTATACTTTATGGAATTGCCTACCATCATTCTGGTAAATTTTCTTTATTTTTTATTATTAATTAATAGATTTTTATTGATAATTTTGTAGGTTTAACATCCGAAGAGAGGAAAATAATAGAGGAAGGTTTCAGGCGTGGCGTGATTTCAGTAATTTGCTGTACATCAACCTTGGCAGCCGGTGTTAATTTGCCTGCAAAAAGGGTAAGTTTTAGGATCCGTTCTAAAAACACAAATCTATTTATTTGGTGGAATTAGGTGATAGTTAGAAATCCGTACATAGGAAGAGATTTCATTAATCTATCTAGGTACAAGCAGATGGCCGGAAGGGCTGGACGCGCTGGTTTATCCGAATTGGGTGAAAGTGTAATTATTTGCGCCCCAAATGAACTGAACGAAGTTCGCAAATTGTTTCTTTCTCCGATGGACGTTGCGATGTCCAGCATGCATGAAAATGAATCCAGAGGCTTACGGCATTTCTTGTTGAGCTGTATTAGTTTGGGTCTAGCCAACACTAAGAATAAGCTTCATGAGGCAGCAAACTGTACATTGTTGGCAGTGCAGAAAGATTGTTTGGAGGTGGATCTAAAAGGACTCGTGAAGTCGGCCATAAGGGAATTGTTCAAAATGGGAGCACTGCAAGTGCAAGGAAACGAGACGGAAGTGATTACAAAAAGAAACAACGTGACTTTTGCCTTGGATACAAGTGTTGGAGCTGTAAGTTATAGGAAATAGATAATTATTTAAAAGTTAATTAAATTTGAACTTAGACTCAACAAGTGTCTGAAGCACCGGAAACTTCGGAAAAAACTGTGATCAGAGTCACCAATGATAGTATTCTTGTGATAAGTCAAATGGGACATGCAGCAATAAAAGGTTTGCACTTAAACTATTAAAAAATGAAGCTAAACTAATAGTCGGTTTTCTGTATTTAGGTGGTTTAGATTTAGCTAAAGCTCATATGCTTTATGAGGATTTACTGGAAGCCCAATTTAAGTTAGTTTTATTAACTGGTTTACACCTCATGTACCTGGTAACACCTTACGATTTATCAGAGCAAATCAACCCATCTTTAGCTACCTATTACAATATAGTAAGTACTTTTAATGAACTAATCAAACAATTATGTAACTCGCTTTATATTTCAGTACAACAAATTGAACAACAGGGAGTTACAAACAGCTAAAGTTCTTGGATTAACGGAAGCTGTGGCTGTTAAGATGATAACGAACAAGAAAATCACTGAAGTGTCCAAGCGTGTCATGAACAGATTCTATGTGACCCTCATGTTGTACGATCTGTGGAATGAAATGTCCGTCTATGATGTGGCGATTAAGTACGATATAAATCGCGGTTTGATTCAAAATTTGATGACTTCCGCGTCGACGTTTGCCTCGAACGTCTACCATTTCTGTGAAGAGTTCGAAGAGTTCTGGGCTTTCTCCCTGTTGATCAAGGGGATGAGCGAACGGCTTTCGCATTGTTGCGTCAAAGAATTGGTACCGCTCATGACACTGCCTTCTGTTAAACAAGTAAATCTTGTGTTGCAATTTATTCGATTTTTTTTTATTAATTTTTGTTTTCTTCTAGAACCGCGCTCGACAATTATTCCAAGCGGGGTACAAAACTTTGCAAAGTGTTGCAAAGGCAAAACCTGAAGACCTTATGAACGCCATTGAATACATGTCAAGAAAATTAGCAAACCAACTGATTGCTGCAGCCAAGGTAAATATGAAATGATTATTTTCAAGTTTGCATGTATTCTTCAGATTTTTATGATTCTTACTTTACATATTTTTTTGTTTCAGATGATATTATTGGAGCGAGTTGAAAACTTGCGAGAGGAAGCAGAAGACGTACTTGAAGGTATTGGTAATTAGTTATTTCTTTTTATAAGTATAATACAGAATTTATGTAAATACATTTTACTTTGTATTACTTCACGTTACGTTTTGTAAATACAAAATAAATCATTTAATATACTCGTGACTTAATTATTTTCGATATTTTTTTCAAATTCATTAAGTTCATATCTATGCTTATTTACTAAATCAAATAGACGTGTATATTTTATTTATTTAATTACTTAAAAATAATGTATAATACTTAGACATGTTGATTCATCTCATACCAATTTCTTTAAGTTAATTTGTAATAAAACCAAATTAGTAAAATAAGTTTTTTTTAAATTTTGTATCTTTAAATCTTTAAAAGTAATTAACAGAGTCATCTACAATCTCTTAAAGTAATGAACATAGATGTTGAATTATTACCAATTTGAATTTTAAGGTTAGAATATATTTTGTATGTTTTTGATCAATGTTAATATTAATTTATGAATAAAATTTTGCTAATGTAAAGATGAGTGTTTTATATGATAGTGATAGTTGTGTTTTTGTATCTCATCAACAATTTATTAACAATGTCTACAAAGAGAGTGTTTATAATACAAGTTATATTATGAAAGATGAGTTATTTGAAATAAATTGTCCATTTAAGAAAGTTAGTTTGAAAAGAAAATCTTCAGAACTAGATAAAAGTTATGAGGACTTGTGGAATGATGCTCAATATATTGACAGAGAATTTAAGAAGTTTGTGTTGGATTTGAAGAATGCTGGTATTGTCAATTCAGATAATGAGGGGGATTCTTCAAACTCAAAAGCTATTGGATTAAGTGAAGAGACTTACAATAATTCTGGAGTGGAATTAGCAACAAATTTAAATGGTAAAAATGAGAATTCTTTGATGATAACTTTGAACAAAGCTAACTATTTGTTTCCTAGCAACTGTGAATTTTATTCAAAGGATGTCAGCCAACTGGGTTCTCTCTTAACTGGATGCAAGTATGACGTGATTGTAATAGATCCACCATGGTTGAATAAGGCTGTCAGAAGGAAGAAGCTGAAGAATAATAATGGGTATCAGATGATGAGCAATGATCATCTTGCAGATATCCCTATTCAGAGTTTGCTTAGTGATGAAGGTATATTAATAGTTTGGTGCACAAATTCTCTGAGCCACATGAAGGCATTGACTGAAGATATATTTGAAAAATGGAATGTTAAACTGGCTGCCAAATGGTTTTGGCTTAAAGTCACGAAATCCGGTGAACCAATTATTAATTTCACTGAACCACCTGCTAAACTTCCTTTTGAACAGATAATTATAGCTACTAAAGCTACTTACACAAATGAGTTATTGACCAAAAGCAACAGGAAGATTATAGTTAGTATACCAAGTGCAATTCATTCCCATAAACCGCCGCTCGAGGAAGTGGTACGACCATACATGAAGGGTAAGGATGGAAAGAAATTGGAAGTGTTTGCAAGGTACCTGCTCCCAGGATGGACGAGTTTCGGATGGGAAGTTTTAAGGTTACAACATGAATGCCTATACAATTGTTCTTGATTATTTCGTGTTCTTTTTTTATAACAAAACATATATTATTAAAACATAATAAAAACAATATATAGTCTCTATCCAATCTATATATCACAATTTTCGAATAAAATTCGAATAATACTAAACTTCTTTGGCTTTGGATTCCTTTGCTGCATTGCTTGTACATCCGATCCCTTGTCCCATCTGCACTCTTTGACCCGGTCTAATATTGAACTGGAAGTTCTTGGGAGCCTCGAACAACAGCACGATCGTCGATCCCATCCGGAATTCTCCGATCATGTCTCCTTTTCCAAGATTGATGTTCCTATCTAGAAGCTTCTCGTTTGCTATCGGCGACTTCTTGTGATTCGTCTGCAGCGTTTTGTCAAAGTACACCTTCACGCTTCCCACGTTTGTAGCACCTAAAACGCATCCAATTTACACCTGCCCCAATTCTATGTTCATTTTACTTACCAACAGCGGTGTACGAGAAGAAGCCATGTTCCCATTCACCTACATAAACAGCTCTTTCGTTTAAACAGAAAAGCCCTGGAATCCACTTGGCTATTGACGGATTTACCGAGAGTAATTCTCCACAGATGTGCCTCCTGTATGATGGTGTCCATTCCGCTGGAGAATGAAACCTTAAATATAAAACCATTATGATCATACTATAAAAATGAAGACAACTCATGTTCATACCTATGATAATCTCCCGGAGCTAAATAAATAATGCACTGATACAAGGTTGTGTTTTTGTGCGATTTGCATAGGAGGGACTTGTGGTAATCGCAATTGCCATTGTTGTTCTTGTTCCAAACATTTTCGCCTAGGAATTTCTCCAATGAATAAGTTACTCCTTTCACCTGAAAACAATGTAGACATTAACATTTTCGTACGAAAGCGCACATATCTTCTTTAATGGACACAAATAAAACGGTAATGTTCTCCGATAAGATTGTAGTTTTTTTTTTAATTGAAGTAATAAAGCGAAACAAAGCAAATCACTCCTTTGTTTCTACTTAACGACGAATCTTTATCGTTGTATGCTAAAACAATAAAGATTGAAATTACATATTTTATTACTGAAATTTGTTACTAGTAATTTTTTAGTCTCTAAATTACATTATTTTTGATAATAAGCTTTCAAATTTGAATAATTTAATGTTAAATGAGAAGTGTCAGTTTTTCACATTTTCCTCGAAATAGAAAACTGGACAAATAAACATAAATTCACATAGTTTTATTAGTTACGACTAGCTTTCCAAATTTACTTATAATAGATAATAAAAATACAGTCTCTGAATATTTTCAATCTACAGTGGTGCCTCGCATAACGAAC